CTGAACTGGGGAAGAAGCCTCTCCTCCATTCTATCTGGGAGTGGAGCAGATGGAACACTGGGACAAAGCCCCCAGCCCCTACCACAAACTAAGCAGTGTCTGGCTTGGAGAAGAGTCAAAGAATAGAAGCAGCTGCTTCTTTCGCTTCCCAGACCTGACTTGGGGTAGATGCTGGCTGTGCCTTGCTGTTCCCTTCTTCTCCATGGGAGAAGAGCATATGTCAAAGCCCCTGAATGGAGAAGTTATTTCTCTACTCTGCTCCTGCTCTCAGGGAGAAGAGTGGAGGGAGCAGAGGCAAGCCCCCCCCCCCCCCCCCCCCCCCCCCACCCCCTCTGCAAGCGACCGCCCCCCCCCCCCCTCCCCCCCACTTCTCACTCTGAGGACTCTGGTTTGTGAAGCAGACAGGGGGATTGCAGCACTGCTCCCTTTACTCAGCTTCCAGTGCCAGGGAGCCGAGCGGAGGGAGCAGTGGAGCAAAGCCCCTGCCCACTGCACACACATAAGACTCTGATATGAGGAGCTGACAGAGACTTTGCCTTACTATACCATACAAAGCCTTCCTGAACCTGGTTCCCTGTTGACCAGCTTCCTCTCCACCCTCTCCCTTAACATGTTAACTGAGAGGTTAGGTCAGGGAAAGCTGGCTGGGCCAGGAACCAGGCTGAGGAAAGCCTCTCTGAGCTCAGCTTCCAGCCAGCTTTTAAACTGCTGCCCCACCATACAGCTGAGCAGCACAGGAGGGGTTGGGGCCATAGGCACTGACTCTATGGGTGCTCCAGAGCTCAAGGCAGACAAGGTTCTTTGGGTGAGTATGATATCTTTTATTAGACCAACTTAAATAGTTGGAAAAAATTGTTATAGCAAGCTTGAGATCAACACAGCTACAATCTACACCTCAGGGCTCAAGCACATATCAAAAAACAGGTGCTCAGCATGCACAGAGTTGCTTGCAGATGGTTTAAAAAGAAAAAAAAGAAAGAAAAACAAACAAACAAGCGGTTTACTGGAAGCAGCAACATGTGACTTCAACCTGGCTCTGTAGCATCTGTAAACATCAGGAGCTTCAGCAGAGCTTTTTAGGGCTTTAAGCTAAAGCTGATTTAATCTACTATTACATAAAAATGCCCCAAAAAGCCCCACTAAAATTCCCGAGCTTTATGAACGCTGCAGAACCAGGTAGAAGTAATGTGCTGCCTCTTCTAGGCATGCACAGGGCTCATGCTACATTAAAAGTAAAGTGCTGGGGTTTTGTTGTTTTGGACGGGCGGGGAGGAAATGCCTGCCAGCACTCAATGGCAAAAAAAAAAAAAAAAAAATAGTTGGTGCTTTTGAGTAAGACAGCAAGCAAAAGGAAGCTGGCAGGGACAGCACTGCTCCCTGTGCTCAGCTCTAGGTATCCAGCAGGGAGCGATGCAAGAAGTGGGCAGGAACTTTGCCTTGCATTAGAGCACCAGTTCTACAGAAGAGGTGGGAGCAGCTGTCCATTCCCTGCCCCGCCTCACACCTGGTGACCCTGGTCTTAGGAAGGCTAGTCCCCAGGAAGAGTTAAGCTGGGGGGCAGGGAAAGCAGGGGGAGTCTAGACGTTCAATCTCCCAAGAGAAACTCTCCTGGAAGAGATTTAACTCTGGGTACTCCTGAGTTATTTTTGCCTTGGAGCAGCCACTTTTGCTTAAAGAGAAAAAGGCATGAACAGCTGCACACTTGTGGCTTCTGGAAGAAGCGCAATTCACCAAGTAGAGACTGAACATCTTCTGTATACAGCCTTTATATAAACAGCTATCTATAACTAACTTCTAAAGTGTCTAAGCTATAGGTGTTTACAGATCCTTAACCCAACTCATCAAATCCTACTAGTTACTGAAAGTAGGACAGCAACAAAGGCAGCATTAACAGATCTTAAAAAAAAAAATCAAGAACAATGCAAAGGCCATGTCTATACTACCTCATTATGATGGTATAAATTTTTGCATGCAGGAAATGCAGTTCTGCTAATGGGGCTACTTTCTATATTCTACTGGTCTGCAATACAAAGTTTAAACACTTATTGATCAAAACTGTTCATTCACTAGGCTGGTTTAAGTTTAAAATTACCTTAATCCTGTTTATTTCCATACTTCTCAAAAATATTACACTATTAGCAACCTTATGATATATTCCTTTTGCTTTACCATAGTTCCAGCATTAGTCATTTGCTCATAGAACACATATCACTGAGGGCTAGGGCCCAAAGAAGTATAAATTAAGGATCACTTTTTGCCAGAGTTAGCTTCATAAATAAATCTATTTTAGATTATTTCGAAAAATACTTCCATATGGTTAGTATCCCAATACAGAAGTAGGAGGGCACTGATAAAGATTTTCTTGGCTGATACCGATAGCCAATTATTCAACAGGCATATCGGCCAATACTGATCTGATAACCGATTTACAGGAATGACAAC